CAGCGCTTTGGTTCGTACGAAGATGTGAAAAAATGGCTCGATGAATGGTTCGCGGCAAAGGGGGAAGATTTTTACTGGCGTGGTATCCACAAATTGCCCGAAAGATGGGAAAAATGTGTAACTAGCAATGGAGCATACTTTGAATAAAGCTCTTTTTATCATTCTTCCGAATTTAACGTGTTTTTTTTTGGAAAAAAATCCGCATTTCATACTTGTACACTTGGTATGTATACAGCACAGACACAGTATAATCATGTCAATTTCAGCTCAAAACATTTGAGATGAGTGTATTTTGAGAAATACATTTTAACGAGGCGCATCAAAATTTGAGGAGGACCAAAATCAAACCTTATCGATCCTCCTTCTTTGGACTATATTATATTTCTGACAATGAAATAAAGTCATTTAAAAAATACATAATCATTATTCGGATTAACAAACATGGAGCCAATTTGATCTTGACATATAATGTCAAGGTCATGACCATTTTTAAAAGGTTTTAGGTAACAGTTACTATTTAAAAGTTATTAACAAACAAAGTTTAAAAAATAATGTCTTATTTTTGCTATATATAATATTAATGGGCATACGACTTTTCATGCGAAGGGATTGAGGTTCACTCCATCTACCCTCCGCTTATAGACATAGAATTTTCCACACAAAGCGAGTTTTATGCCACTTCCCCCCTCCGTTTCGGATCCATGGTGGAAGGATAGCATGAAGCCTTTTTTTCTTTTTCTCTCCAGGAAAAAAGAGGAAAAAAGATGAACTGGTGCAAAAATTCAGTCAAAAATAACAGACCTATTGTATGCACAGTTGGATGCTTTCTCTCTCTAAATCGCCACCCTCTCTGTCTATGGACATCGGCGAATCAAGCTATCAATAGCTGTGAAACGCTAAACATAGGGCGGTATTCATAGTCCGTTTTTATTTCAAAATTATTAAATAATGTCTTAAGATGTTAATACAGTCTTCGGATTGACTTATGACATCTTAAGATTGTACTTAAGACAGTCTTAAATGTAAAAATCAATTATGAATACCGATCTGTTTCGCGTTTCGTGAAATTGATACTGAACTTTCCTTGTTTAACATACTTTATATTTCTCTTTCTATAGAAAGAGAACCTAAGATGTGTGCAGTATGATATGTGTCAAACAAGCAAAGAAGTTTTGTTAAGCGTCATCCATAGACAGAGAAGCCAGAGAGAGAGAAAGCGTTCAACTGCACATACCATGGTATCCTTCCACCATATTCGGGCCGTACAATTTTCGCAAAACGAGTTTTACATTCCTCCTTCCATAGGGCGTACGACTTTCTATTCGAAGCGGGTTTCACCCATAGACATAATATTTCTCGACCGAGCATTGTCAGAAATTTGAGGAATGGGGATAGTTTTCATTTAGAAAAGGACGCACTCACTTGATTCTAGAGTGGGTATAGAGAGTATGACGCTAATTAATCGGAAGTTGCTATTTGGTGTCCTACATCTTGATACCCCAGATCATATATCTATATGACGTGATTCCTCGTCTTAACCTCTTCTTTCTTTAATGTTGTCTTCTTTCTAACTATCAGTAAGGACATTTAATGGCGGAGCCAATCAGCATTAGACACATGCATTGGTGCCACTCTCTTTATATCCACTCTACTTGGCCCAAGTGCATTATCTCTCGTTTCGCGCAAGTGTATAAAGTGTATCACTGAAAGAGAGGATCGAAAGAGAGAACGAAGAACTGAAAAGTAACAGCTTACAGTCAGATCGGCGAAGAGAGTCTCGTATATGTTCTGCGAGTCTCACGACGAATGCGAACTGAGGATGGACGTGTTTCGTCTCGGATTAGATGTTGCATTATCTCAAATTTTTGTTAGCCAAATTAGCCCGCCAAGCTTTTCCGTGCTTTTGATCCCTTCTCTTACAGATACTTTACACGCATGCGCAAAACGAGAGAGAACGCATTTGGGTCAAGTTAGAGTATCTATGATAAGAGTACGACCAATAGAGTAACGATCGGTGATTGATCCGCCAAATTGAAGCAAAAGCTGAGGAAGTTGCATACCTGTGTGTACACCCAAAGACTTTGATTCTTTCTCTCGGAAATTTCCACAAACTGAGAAATGACCATTGGTTCTACATTAATGCTCATAGTCCGTGCGCGATTAAACCTTACGTCCACTTACAACTAAATTTGATGAAATAACTTGAATTTTTGAAAGTTTAAAAAAAAATAAGAAAGAGAAGAATTTTTCCTTGGGTGTACATACAGTGTACACCATTTACACAACTATTAATTTATACTGTTTCAAGTAAGTTTTCTGTGTCAGAGGTGAATTATTCGTTTGTTATTACTCGGCGCTATTCAAATTAAGAAGGAGAGATGAGTGGCGAATGAATTGCAGTAGAATTATATATTTTTTTAATGAAATAAGAATGTGAATTTCTTGTGTAGTCATTATAACTTAATCTATTTATTGATTGACACATTAGAGCAACAATGCCTGGCTATGTAACAGATTAGTGCACAAGCTCTGCGAAAAAGGATTTTAAGATATATCGTTTTTCTCGAGATCCAAAAAAAAAAACGAAAAATTTAGGCTGAAACATAGCCCAAACGAAAATGGATTAAAATGGATTGAAATTTTTTTCTATCCGAATGCGCGTATTTTAAATAGCGAATACTTTTTTTGGATTTAATTGGATTGAAAAACTGCATTTCCTATTCAAAATTTTGAATTGAACAGTATTCATAATGCACAGAAAAAGCTAATATTATTTTTAGATTGAAAGACATAAAGATATGCTCCATACAATTTCTATAAATGATTAAAAATGCATTCAGGATTGAAAAGAATTCATTTTAACATTCCTGAATCAATATTTCTGAAAATCTGAATCCATTTCAATTCATTTCAATCCATTCTCGTTTGCTGAGAGGAGGATAAGGCTAGGCTCCATCTAATAATTCAGTGTTATGTAAGGTCAGTAAGAATTTGCTTTTGTGATTTTTTTAATATAAGTAAATTATTAAATGATGTAAGTTTTATATTATTCCAGGTACATTTTAATGCAGAAATGTGAACTGTATCAAAGATTGGAAATGGCAAGCGTATGCTGAAAAAAGATTCTAACTGTGATTGAACTCACCAGAATATACAGGAAGGTGTATATAGGATATATTGTAAATTGACAAATTGTATATATACTGTAATAAAGTACTGTAATAAATATACCTAATAAAAAGTTAAATATACTATTAAAAAAGTAGCTAATACTCCTAAAATCCTATTTTTAGGCTCATTCATTTTTATATTATTTATTTTTAAATAAATTTAATTTTCATTCTATATTTACCTCTGTTGTCATTCTTCTTATTCATTATAAAGTTTATTCATTATAAAATTATTAGCTTTCCCCCTCTGCAAAATATTTATTTTACAATTTTTGGAAATTTTCTTCGTGCTGATTGAATTCTATTTTTAAATCTAGAGGTCTTATCTCAGCAGATATTCATAAAAAAACACGGTTGCGTTCTGCTAAACGCACCTATTTTATATGTACAATTTTAGTTTTATACTTCAGATTGTGTGCTCTAAAATTTATTATTGGTACTGAAAATCTAGTTTACGTTACATGCACTATAGATTTTCAATACTGACAGTAAATTTTTGAACATAACCTCAGTTTTACACTTCACATATGAAAATGTGCGCGCGTTCCGATGCGTTTCTGATTTTGCCTCATATACACTCTATTGACCGTACTCTTATTATGATACTCTAGATCAAGTAAGTGCGTCCTTTTCTAAATGAGGATTACTCCATTCCTCATATTTCTGACGCTCGATCTAAAGATACTGTATCTATGGATGGGCCTCGTTTCGTGTAGAAAGTTGATTGTCCTTAAGTAAGGGGGGGGGGGAAGAGGAGGAGGTGCTGCGGATCTCAACTTTGCGTGGAAAGTCGTATATTCCTAGGCAGAAAGGTATTTTCATTATTTTTAATATAAGTATTAAAAAACATCGGATATATATTGAAATGATTAAGTTAGAGGATACCCTGTGCGCGCGCGCGCGTGTGTGTGTGTGAGTACGCATTTATACAGAAAATATGAGAGTAGGACTTACGTTGATTCGGAAGGTATTGGTTGATCCATCAATTTCTCTGACATTGGAGATAGAGGATACGGTTGCACCAGGGGCTGTGACATACCATCTCCATCTAAATAACATTTCAAATATTATCTCATTTTCTGTGCATACTCCCTTTGTACGTGATAATCGCATTCTTCAATAATTTCTGGGTTTCAGAACTTCACTTCTAAAATTTCTTTTATATGATGAAACACGTTGAGATTCAAGGACACATTCTTATATTTTGTGACTTCGCAATTTTGTGTTGCAAAATGTAAGAATGGCTGCGTTCAGCGGATTCAACAATTGAGTGAGCGCTTACTGTTATTGATGTATTTTTTAGATCATCCAATCAGCATTTTAGAAGAATACATCAATAGCAGCGAGCGCTCAACTGTTGAGTTTGCTGAACGTAGCCATTATGTTTCGTAAGAACATGTTTCATTGTATAGTAAAGAGACTTAATCACATATGACTGTTTTGCCAACAAAACGATTTTAAATAAACATATCCTTAAAAAAACATATGGACATAATAGATATATGGACTGCACATTCTCTCATCTTACATGGAAAGAACGATGTTGCTGAAATAAAAATTTAGGTCCATCAAAATAATTATGTAGGAATTGTAGAAAGTTAATTATGCGAATGTAAAAATATTTTGCAACATTGCTTATCACGCTTAAGTTTCCTACATCTAGGGGGGAGTTGGCTAATTGTACCTCCATTGTATTTTCTAAACATTTTTTTTAAAGATGATGTCACACTAATGACAGATGTGACGTTAGTAATATGGCTTAAGTTCTATCATTTTTGTTTTGTCTTTGCATCCGTTTACAACATTTATAACATTGATCTTGTTCGATGTCTGATCTAAGTTTTCGTACAATTTATCTAAAATATTAATGAAATTATCACAAGATGAATTATGGTATAATGTATGTACTACAGGGTTATAATTGATATTTAAACTCTTTTCGAGTATAAGATCAAATGAACAAAATATTTGTAAGTTAAGTTGTTGTTGACAAATTTGTAAAAATAGAGAAAGTGAGATAAATCCTATTTGTTGCTGGTCTTTATATTGTACTAACATTTAAGCTAAAACAATGTACTAGACAAGATTGAGTAGTTGAATAATACTTCTCACTAGTTTTTATATTATCAAAATTTAAAATAAAATAACATACAATATTAAGATTGAGTAATTAAATAATACTTTTATAATTTTGATATTTGTATAAGAAAAAATATATTTGTATTGAGATTTTTTAAGATAACTTATTAAGAATTATTTATAAATATTATTTGTTGGATTTCAAAAAAATTTAAATCTTTTTTTGTAAAAACTAATTATTATTAGAAGTACGATTTAGAAATCCAATGTTACAATTTAACGATTCGATCTCCAAAGCGTACTACCTATATATTTAAAGTACTTTTTTTTAAAATTTTATTTTAAACAATAATTCAATATTTATTTTTGTAAAAATATTGTTTGCTTTATTACCAACAAACTAAAGTTTAATGTAAGTACAGAAATATTCTGATCAGTAATTTTATTACAATTTTGTTTAAATGTTAAGGGGGGCGATATAGGCGACTTCTTCCTACATTATTTTGATAGTTCAATAAAATTATTTTCAGATCTGTATATTTAGAACTAAATTTTTAGATACCTACTTTACCAAACTTTGCACCGAACAAAATTTTTTTCATGTAGCATCTAATGTGCTCTGTTAGAAAAAGAATGCAATCAATAAAACGTATATACAGTGACTGACAAAAAAAGAGCTTATAATATTATATCACTATAATATTATAAGCTTTTATTTTAAAAAATTATGAAAAAATGAAAAGAACTTGAAATAATTTAGCTCAGTTTGTTGTTAACAAAATTGTAATGTTTGCAACAGATTTTTTTTACCTTGTTTAAATTAATTCATATTTGATTTTTTTGAGAAATGTTTTACTTAATACTAGGACAAAAAGAAATTATATTTATTTTTTATTAAATAAAAACAAAATTTAAAGAAAATTAGAAAAAGTAAAAAAATACATTTTAATATTTATATTTAATATTTAGTATGACTTCTTTACGCTTTAATTACTGCCTGAAGTCATCTTGGCATACTCTCCACGAAGTTTTGAATGTATTTTTCATCTATCTTCTCCCCGGTCTTTTGAAGCGCCGCGAAATAGTAATTTTCCTTAGACATTCCGATTTTATCAATTT